ATTTCATTTTACTTGGATCCACAATCAACACCCATGGAAGCCGCAGTCAAAAAATCAAAAGATAAATCGTATTGGGCAAGTCGGCTGCAAAAGACCTCTTTAAAGTGTTGAAATGCAAAGATGTCACCCTGAAGACTAAAGTGAGCCTGACCCAAGCCATGGTGTTTTCAATCACCTCATATGCATGCGAAAGCTGGACAATAAATAAGGAAGAGTGAAGAAGAACTGACACCTTTGAATTGTGGTGTTGGTGAAGAATATTGAACATACCATGGACTGCCAAAGGAACGAACAAGTCCGTCTTGGAAGAAGTACAGCCAGAATGCTCCTTAGAAGCAAGGATGACGAGACTTTAACTCACATACTTCGGACATGTTATCAGGAGGGATCAGTCCCTGGAGAAGGACATCATGCTTGGTAAAGTGGAGGGTCAGCGAAAAAGAGGAAGACCTTCAATGAGATGGACTGACACAGTGGCTGCAACAATGGGCTGAAGCATAACAAAGATTGTGAGGGTGGTATAGGACTGGGCAGTGTTTTGTTCTGTTGTACATATACAGGCGCTAAGAGTAAGAACCGACTCAACAGCACCTAACAGCAACAACAACTCCTCATAACTGTCAAGGTCGTCAGCAATAAGAAGAGTCAGAAACGAAGGAGACATGACAACTAAATGTATCCTTGAACAAAAAGGGGGGTGGGGAGGAGGGCATTAGTAAAAACTAAGGAAATCTGAATAAAATACGAACTTTAAAAATAGTGTATTAATGTTGGTTCACTAATTGTGACAAACGTACCATACTAATTTAAGATTACCAACAGGGTAAACTGCGTCTGGGGTATATAGAAACTATTATGGATTGTCCCTCAAAAACATGTTTCAACTTGACTAGGCCATGATTACCAGTATTGTGTGATTGTCCACCATTTTGTTATCTGATGTGATTTTCCTATGTGTTGTAAATCCTACCTCTATGATGTTAATGAGGCAGGATTAGAGG